GATCGCATACGAGATCTGGAAATGCTGCGATGTCTGCACCCGACCGATATCAATGTGCAACCATTGGATCGCGATCTCGCTTTTGGTGACTTTTATACACAGCGTTCTGGTAGGACTATAAGCCAATGAAATTAAATTTTAATTGTTTACTAAAGGATTACCTGAAGATTTGATATTGTTTGACAACATATGAGCATTGACAAGGTCTCTAAACAAGATATATTTATAAGCTTGTTTGTAAATTCGTTTAAAATTTGGTTAGTGTAATGCTAAGTGTAATTGTCAAACAAGTCAACTTAGGTCTCCTTTGTAGCACATGACCACACATTAACAATTGACACCTCTTTTTTATCTGAATAGAACCAACGCCCCGCGGCGATGGATATGTTCCCAGCACGATACGCGTGCAGGTGCGTACCAGTGGGATACGGGCTCCATCAGTGGCACGCCTCATCATTCAATGCAGTCACCGCCGCAGGATAGCATGTCGATGGGAAAGTAAGTTTTGCACGGTCGACCTCTTACTAACATCTAGCGTCTCTCTGACCGACTCTTCCTGATATTTGTTTAGCTAAAATTTTTTTTATATATTGTTTTTTTTTGGTTGCTCCTGTTTACTGGGGAGTGAACTCCAACCGAATCCAAAGCAAACCCTTCAAGTAGGGTCTTAGTTTCCTTGCAGTCTCAGCTGTATTTTAATTTTATTTATTTGGCCCATAACATTTTCAAGAGTTTAATTAGATTGCAATACTTTGAAATCGAGAGGGACATAAAAACAAAAAAAAGCGATATCAAAATGTTTAACAATTCCACTAAAACAAAAAAATAATAAACAAATTTGTTCACTGGCGTTTATTGTTTATGTTGTTTTGCTTTTCCTTTTTTCTTTTTTTTTATTACCTTTACTAATATTAACAATAAAGAAAACAACGATTGTGCTACGCAGCTGTGGTATAAACTATGTTACTTACTCTACTCTTTGTTTATTTTCATTTTCTACTTTTATGCGTTTTTGATTTGTTGTGCAAACACTCGGTGTTGTGGTGCCCATCCAGTTATTCTCCACGTAGTGGCATCATGTCTTATAATCCATCGAGCGTCGCAACCACATCCTATTACAGGGATGATTCTGATTCAGATGATAGCACTGTGGCGCGTGAGCTCGAGAATTATGTCAACAATACAGCGCCAGACGATCCCATACTGGATCAGATAAGTCACACCATATTCAATGTGTGCGCCAATGGGCAAGAAGCACAGTGGATGATGCCCACTAAATCAACATATGCCGTGCCATCGCCCTATAATGAAACAGTCCAATATTAAAAACATAAATTCGAATTGCAGGCTAGTTGCGGTTGTGCCTCTTACCGAAAGGTATTTTTTGATACCTACATATCTATCCATATATTTATGTACCAATCGCATACGCAATCGCATCAATATCACCCAGCAAAGAACAAACAAGCAATAAACCAACAATTCGATTTTTGATTCTCAAAACAAATAATCATCATTAGTTTGTTTGTTGTGTGCCACGGCTCTAACAGCGTGTCCATCATTGCACCGCCCTATCCGAGCCTCTGCATAACATAAACTCACGTCTTCACTCGCCACTCGCCACTAGCCACTCGCCACTTGCCACTTGCAACATTCGCCAATTGTCACATTCATTAGATATGCCCGCTGTCGTTGCCTACTTTACTAACTTTTCAAACTTATCAGGTCGCTCGGTTCTATGATCTCATATTCAATTATTTTTGTTGCCTTAGTTGTTCTACTTCAAAGTATTGCCATCTTATTAAGCTTTTCAGCAGCCATAACAATCCAATATGTATTTCTACGTATACAATGAAATTGATATCTAATGTAATTCTATATTCTAATTTTTGATATCATCGCAGCTTACAGAATAGCACCATCATGCATTTGTAAATGCCAAAAGAACATCCACAGCAATGAATACAATAATAGACAACAATTGCATTTTCAGCAAGCAACTGTTTTTTTGGGGCTTCTTTGAAATTACAAGAATACACAAAATATATAAACAATAAACAAGTTGATTGCATGTATATTTTTCCTTTTTATATACCTCTTTATTATGTTTGTTCGTAATTGTTGTTACCATCACTTGATGAAACTTGATGTTATTGTTGTTAATGTTGTTAAATTGGCACGAGAATCGAATGCCTTCGACGTAGGCGGGGGGCACCGTTCGTATAGATTAACAGTTTTTCAATCGTACACCTTTTACCACATATTTCTTTTCACTAAATACATTATTCGTTTATATCACAACTAACATCATTTGCCGACTCATTCCAATGATTCACACACATTTGTATTTGTTTTAGTATAACTCATGCGTCTTCTTCTCGTTTACTTGCATTGATTTATTTATTTAATTAATTTTGATTTTCTATTTTCTATTTTCAAATTTTCTTCAATTTTAGTGGTAGTGATTTTCCCATGGCGGACTTTGATACGATGCCGAATTTCGATGTGTATAAACTATAAGCCTATTCAAAGCATACGCCACATTTATATATACTTATATATATATATATATATGTATATGTTCGCAAACGATATATATGTATGTGAAGAAAAGAATGTAACATGAAATCGCGTAAACAAATGAATCCTATAAAAAGAATTTGCCGCTATTAACGACGTCCATTAGATGTTTACTCTAATCAAGCAACCAATATACCCTACAATTCACACAAAATCGGGCACATCGACCTTAACTTATCAAACTATTTTAACCCAAATGTAAATTTTACATATTTGGAATGCATCATTGTGGCATGTGTTTTATTTTTGGTATGTATATAATTTATTAGTTTTTATATTAATACAAACCTATTTCGGTAGCCCGTAAAGACACAATAAAGTAAGGAGAAAATTTTTGTGGTTGTGATCTCCAATTCGTAGAAACACTTAAAGTTACCTTTGTAAGAGTATTATATACACACAAATACACTGGATGAAACGATAGCTACTGTAACTAGTAAACGATTTAAGTAAATGGAAAATGTTTTAGAAAGAAATGTGTTTTATAAAAGTTTTATTCAACAATTTTATCAAATGTTTATCGTATATTCGAATTTATATTGTTGAATGTATTTTAAAATATATAAATATATATATATATATATATACAAATATCTAATTGGAGTGACACAAATTGGAAAAGCTGGTTTCAGTAGTCGCCTATATGTATTGGCTCTCTGATAGACTAGTCGAGAAAATGAGTTTGAACTGAGGAACGGATTGTATACGAATTTACACATAGCCAAAATATATTTATATGTATGTTTATCTAGTTGTATGTATAGAAGATTTAACTTAAAAAACCGTAAAGTACATTTTGAAATGGAATTTCATCTAAATGTTAAATGTGGTTAAGTGTTTATGCTAATTGTTTGTTTTTCAATTATTAAACAATGTTTTATTTATTCTTGCAGCATTTGTGAAACGCCAAAAACGAATCAACTAAACGACAAGAGCAATGCATGCAAATTGCGGCACTTCAACACACACACACAGCCCACACACGTCACATTACACATACGCACACACACAAACACACGCACAGAATACCAGATATTAAGATTTTAAATTGTGCTTAAATATGTATATGATTTTTATATACGCAATTTACATAGGTGTGTGCGTCCCTGTGTGTGTGTGTGTGCGTGTGTGTAATATGGTTTTAGACACGACTTTGTCAATTTTGTCAAATGTCTGTATGAAAATGATTTAATTTTAATGGATTGCGTGATCAGCACGTGAATTTAGTTAGTTTCCTTTTGTAACTACGTATATTTGTTGAATCTAAATTTGTGAGTTTATTATAATTTAAAATCGTTTATTTTGTATACGTTTAAGTTATTTAGTTGGGACACAAATGTACCTCAATTGTGCTCATTTTAGTTATACATTACGTAAGTACGTATTATACATATAAATATCTGTATATGCATGCATATATATATGTCTATATATGAATTGCTTTATGTATAAACCCCTTTTCATTGGCTTCCATGCTGCAAATGCAAACAAATTTCATTTATGTACTATATTTGATATGATTTTCATTAAGGACAAAGTGTGCATTGCATTAAAAATGCGTTAAAAAAAAACAAAAACAAAACAAATATATAAACAAACTGTTGCTTCTGTCGCCCACACCAAGGACACAAAAGCATGAGAAATGATAAACAGATGAAAGTAGACGACGATGAGGATGAAAATACTATTTTTTTGTGTAAACAATTAAGCTTTTAATGTGAAACTGTAAGAATTTTATAATACTTCTAAGTAACCCAACTTAATCAATAAATATATACACACTATATATATATATGTATATATATATATATATATATATATATACAAAGATTAAAAACAATTGAAGTTAATTACACATTTTTGTGCAGCTGTTAAAGCAAATTTGAATTGAGCAACGACAAACTCTTTATGTGTGTTCGTGTTGAACGTAACGTTTTCAATTTTTAAATGTTTAAATATAAATTAAAAGCTCGCGCACACATTCCCATAAACACAAACACCATACACACATACACTCACACACAACACTCACTCTGATATTGGGAAATAGTTTTGAAAATGTGCACATTATTGATAAAAATGGAGTTATTTTTTTAAGTGTAAGCAATATACGAATTGAAAGAACTAAAGAACTATTCTTGTCAAAATGGCCAATAAAGATTTGATTTTTAACATTATTTAAGAGTGTTTTGTTTGTTTCTGTTCTCTCACCTTGTAAGTAGAATCTGAAACATATGAATTTACTGTAGGCTTAAGAGATTGTGATGAATGCTCTGAAACTGTCTGCTGGTTATGGCTAGATGGTTATGGGTACTCAACTCGTCTGTTTATTGCGAGCAGCTTACAAACTGGTAAATGTTTGCTTCTACTAAGTTCCAAGTTGACAAAATCTCGCTTAAGTGAAAAAAGTAGTCAAACAAAGAAATTCAAATAAAAATTGTGTTTTTTATTGTTGGTACTAAGTTGGTGTGCATCAGTGAGTCAGTCATTTGAATATATCTATATACATTTATGATATAGTATTGATATATTCATATGTAATCACTTTTTGTCGGAGCAGCACTTGTCCTTGGGTTCGTTCTTGCAGGCGCACTTGCATTGCTGGCTGCAGGCGCAGTTGTCGCCGCACTTGGTGGCCGAGCACTGGCAGTCTGTGGGCAACGATACCATAATATTTCTCCAATTTGCTTTCTATATATATATGTGTATATACTCACTGGTTCCACAAGCCTTGCAAACCCATTCTTTGTTTGTTTATTTGTTTATTTGTGTTTTTGTTTAGAAGTGTGTTCGACACGATGTTTTCTCGCTGACTTTGTTGACTCTGTTCAGTGCCGCTGGTATTTTATAGATTTTCTGGCTAATTCCGTCTTTTGCACACCATTCGGGGGCTAACAAGTGGAATCATCAATTAACAAGTATTAACCATATACATAGCTGGCTTATCAAGGCGTGCGCAAAATTGCGTAGCCGACGCGATATCAGCGTATTCACTTTTGCGCACGCTGAACACATACAGCTGCACACGGCTTGTTTTATTTGTCTTATCAGCTGTGCGAAACGATATAAAAGGCGGGCGTAGCGAGCCCATTGAGCAACAGTGTATCAACAGCAGTCGTTGTGTTAAGAATTTTATAAAACAAAGTGAACTATAATAAAGATGCCTTGCAAAGGATGCGGAAACAGTGAGTAGAGTGAAATCCCCGATCAAGTGATGGTCTATATTAATGAGCCCAATCCTGCTTTAGACTGCCAGTGCACGTCCGGCAAATGCGGCGGCAACTGCGCCGGAAACCAACAATGCCAATGTGCCGGCAAGACAGCTCCCAAGTGCTGCCAGACCAAATAAGATGACGTCCAAAGCAAGGCCTTATATGAATACCCAGCTCCATATTGAAATCTCCGACTGATTAATTTTCTACCAAGAAGTTTAATAAATTATATATTTAATAATGAATTGAAATTAACCGTTGTTTGCCTAAGTCTTTCGATCATACAATTTGGCTTGAAGCCTAGAAGATGCTCGAGGCTAACACATTGAGCCGAGTCATTTGTAAGGTAAATCTGAGGGAGTAACAGCTAAAGATATGAGTTCCGTAAAAATGATTATTGTTCTACAAATAGGACAATATCGTAAGTTTCAAAAGTTGGAAAGTTGTTTAATTTGCAGCCAAGCAAAACACTCAACAATCATACAGGCACAATATGTGTCTACTCAAGAAACTAAAGTATCATCATTCAGTTTAGGGGCACTCAAGTCGACGTAGTCTTTAAGCTGGCAGCAAGTGGGGCTTGGGTGACCAGGGTAGGTTGCCCGGCGAGTCCTTGTGCAATGGCTAACAACTGTTCAGGGCATGTAAGTGCGCAAGCTGCACTTGGGGACGCTGATTGCATGACAGGTTTGACAGACATTTAGTGGGGGCCCAGGTGGGACGGTAAACACGAATGTATCCAAAAAGTGCATTAAGCGCACTAATTGCAATTGACAATTGCATTACGCTGGCCCGAATGGTGAGTCAAGACCTTGTCCTCAAACCGTGCAACAAAATTTTCAATTTCAGCGTTTTTAATAGTGTTAAAGCGTCGGAAATGAAATCGCGCTCTGAAACTTGCTGTTTGCGCAAAGTCATCAAAACTTAATTTGTATGGGGGGAAATTCGAGCTCAAATGTTTTTACAGCCATTTCCGGAAACGGTTGCTAGTCGAAATGTCAGTGGCACTCGATTTGCTTGCCTTGGAATGACACACGGATATGTGGCAAAAAAGATAGAGAAAAGAAAAACCTTCAGCATTCTGGCAATAACTCAAAAAAATATAGTCATGCAATGGTTTTGAATGTTAAAATAAACATAAATGGGAGAGTATATGAAATAAATATTTGAGCATTTGATTAGTTATTGATGAGCTACTGGAACTTAAATTCAGGTGAGAATGAATTTCATACTTATTAGCTATATACAAATCTTTTTATCAGGGTATATTTGAGTCGAATAGTTAATAATTATTTTCAACATTGTTTGTTGTATTGGGCAGTCAGCGGAAGTTGTTGTCACGGCATTTCAGATTTGTGTTGATGTTAAAAATAACGCGAGAAATTCTTTTCGTTTTATTTTTGGCTTGGTTTGGCTTCGAGCGCAAACCCAAATGGCGATACCTGGTCCGAGTCGACATGAGATGCAGCCGCAAGCGGGTCAGGGCGATGGTGAGTGCGATTCGTTGTCGGGAAAGTTGCGGCTTAAGCCACACGCTGCGTATACGCGATATGCGAGCCATTTAATTCGCTGTCGCGGCCTTTAAGCACAAACGCAAACAGTTAATTACGGCATTAAGTTTTCATGCTGCAGTCAAAAAAGGCGGCATTGGCCGGGCCAGCAAGGGAGCGAAACAACTGCAATGCGGGCACTTCGTGAGCGCTTTGTCGCCAGCAGCAGAACGACAGCCGGGAGCATGAGCAGGAAGCAAGAGCAGGAGCAAGAGCAAGAGAGCTGAAGTCACTCTGAGTGCGAGTGCGAGTCCATGAAAAGAATGTGACGTCGCATCACTTATGCATAAGAACATTTTAACTTTTCGTTAGCCACTTTAGACTTGGGCACGTTCCAGGGCCATGGAGATGGTAAGCGTGACTCGGGCTGGATTCGATGGTTGGGATACGTCGGCTCGTTATGGGGCATGTTTATCTTTTGCGTGTGACTTTTGCCTTTTGGCTGGCTCAAGTTTTTCTATTGTTGCGGCCAAGTGTTGAAATCAAATAGTACTGAAAAGCAAGCACACACACACTCAGACACACACACACTTATACTGTTGCAGTTGGCAAACAAACATAAATTAATGAAATGCACAAAAACTCTACTGTCTCTCGCTCTCTTACCTTGACTCTGCAATGTCGGAATATTCTTAATAATTTATTGCATTTTGTTTGCTAAGCGCTTCAAAACTTGCTGAACTTTTCAACATAAATTAACAGATTAGTTGTTGCCTGCCAGCAACAGCAACAACAACAACCACCACTACCACTACCACTAGGAAAATATTTTCAACTTTAGCAGGTGGCCTTGGAAAAAAATGCGGATAGTTGCTTTTGTGTCTGCCACAACAGCTGCTAATTTCCACTGTACTATGCTGAGGATTGCGCTTAAATGTTGCCGAAAAACTTTTGCAAACAAACACGCACTGCAATCGCCGTGGGATCCACCTCGCCTTTGGCCACTATAAATCTTTGCTATTTTGGCAAATTTGTAAATCTCTTTGGCCTCCCTTACAGCCGGCCAGACCCGACGTGACTGTGGAAACTGCAAGCATTTGGCATCAAATATATATATATATTTTAATTTGTAATTCGTGTTACTTTCGCTACTTAATAGACAGAACTCTTAAGGCTTTGTTGGCTTCGGCTTAAAGTGCTCACTATTTGCCAGCTATTGTGATTTACTGCCATTCGATTTCAGCGTTCCCAAATGAGTAATCAAAGCAGCATTTTCGCTCGTCATTTAACATTTAACGAAAACTCATTTCGTTTTCGATTTGTCGCTGATTTCCCAAACACTTTCAGAAACACAACACCCGCACACACAAAGACGAGCGCTGTAGGATGTGTCTGATGAACTGCGTGAATGTCTTTGGCTTTGGCAAACACATTAAGCGCCACATCCTGGGCGCGTCTCAACTATCGGCCCGGATGTCCTGCCTAGCCCTGTATTTGCTAGCCGCCGACCAACTTTGTTGACAGCAATTTGGGATGCACGACTGCACCGTTGACGTTGTCCAAGGCAAGCCCAGTCCATCAAGACCTAATGACAATAGCTGCATTCTCCAGCAATCTATAGAAACTACGTGTGATACGAGAATTTAGTTCGCTGGCGTTTAAGTTTAAAGTGGGATTATTTCCATTTGGTATGCATGAGTTTAAATGATTAACCCAGTTGCTTGGGTGGACCAACTGGATTCAGTTTATCTAAACGTAAAGTCCATGAATTCACTATTTTATGCAAATAGTTGAACGTAATCGTCACTATTAATAGTTGATAAAAGGGATTTCAAATACATATATAATATAAGGGAATAATAGCTCATGGAATGAAGCTATCAAAGATTTGGCAAGTATTTCATTTGAGAGATAAATCTGGATAGGCATTTCATCATAATTTCAGTTATCCAAGGCTTTAAGTTCGGGCTAAATTAAATATATTTCAAACAAGTGAGAAGCAACTTAGACATTGAATATTAAGTTTTAAACATAAAATAAAGTTTTCACTGATGTGCCCACGCCCCCTATGCCCATATCTTTTTTATCTTGAATTGTATGTTTCAAATTACAAGTCCTCTAGAATTTTAACTAATAGCATTTCTGACATACCGATATACTATGTCTCTTCAAAGGATTCAAGTATGAATTTAAAGTTACAGCATCTAAGTTTTCTAATCGAACAGTTTATAATATTAAAAATGAATCAGTTACATAATCTGAGAGTTTAAAGCTCCGCAACATATAAGCATTATTTCGAAGAGCTTTCTTGTGTTTCATTCAGCTATTTTTGCAGCTCATTAAGGCTCTTGGCGCGCTCAAAGCTCTAGCTTTTTCCGAGTTTCGTTGTCTTCTAACCAAGTAGTCATTAGCCTGACGTTAAAATTTTAATGCTGTAACATGTTCGGAGCAAATCAACTTTCCCCACGGCTGCGACACAGTTCGTATACTTACCTGTGCTTGTGCACATTTTGTTGTATTGTTAATTAACCGAGCCACGCGAACAGCTGAGGCCAACCTCTGTCAGTTGTCCTGTGCACGCGCTCAGCTGTCAGCCACCAGATTCTACTTGCAGGCTTTGCATACGTTGGCAATTGCGCAATGTCTTGTGACTCGTTCGCTATGCAGCTGCGTGTGTTCCCTGGAGCAATGCCCTGTTTGGCTCATTAGCTAACTGCACACGTGCACAAATCAATTTTGCCACGTCCACTCCCGAGTCGCACGCTCGCACTTGTGTGACTTCGTGGCGCTACCGCCCCTAATCCCAGCAAGAGTGCACCAGAAACAATCATACGACGCGTTGTCCAAAAGCAATCAAAGTGAATGGCTCTACTACAAAAATCACATGCCACATGCCACATGCTCGCCCCAGATCTAGCAACTGCAAAGGATATGAGCGGTGGCACGATTGGATGTTTTAATAAGCAATGGTTCAATGGAGATGATGCCATAAGTATGCAAGTGCCACATCGTATGTTGCAATTGCTCCAACGCGCTTCCAACTGCATTCTGGGTGCCTAGCCAAAGAGTTATACAGTTCCCACTGCCTGCCCTGCAGTTGATGTTTATCTATTGCAGTGCCTTTGCTTGCCAAGTAGCAGCTTCGCACTGATAAGTGCATCAACATGATGCTCAAATTATATGGTTTCACTTGCCAGCACAGCAAACGAGCTCCATCAGCATTATACAAATACATAAGCACACAGAAATCACAGGAGCGGAACGGAACGGATCGGGCCCACTTAAAGTAAATTCTTGCATATTATTGAATAGTCTAATACGGACCCATGCACTCATTGCATAAAATACAAGTAAAAAAAGAGAAAATCTGTCGAGATTAACAAAGCCCATTTGCTTCTTCCCCTGTTATATACAAATACTCTTTTGCTTTATCAGTGATAAAAAAATGATATTAGCTCCGGCTTATCCCGTAGATCTGCATAAGCCAGAGCTGTCAGTCCCACTTTATAGTCGGTGGGCACCGTTTCGTAGTGACCGGGCTGCTTCTGGTAGGCCACGAAATTTGTGTAGCTGTGACGCTCAAACTTGTAGTTTTTGCCCATGCCAGCAAAGAGTTGCTTTTCATAGGTATTCGGTGGCGGCTGTTTCGTTTTTGCTGGTGGCTTTTGGTATGGACTGTTTCTTGCGTAGATAATGCAACAGGGCCAACGATGTTGGCGGCAGCAAGGCGGATTTTTTTAGCAAATCTGGATCAGCAATGCTGTTCGCCTGATTCGAGCTGACATGTGATTCGTATAGATATGTGCGAATATTCACGCCATATGGTAATCGCATCAGAAATCGATCTCTAAAGCTGGTTCTATTGATGCATTCAGATAACAGCCTGTCGCACTTGAAGTGCCCGAGGTGCCATGGGCCAGCCTTGTGGCAAAAGTATGCCTTGCCATTCAGTTTGTGTGGATTGGCAGTCAGGACCCGGGTCAAGGACTTCTCGGTTAGGTAAAACATCATAGCATACTTGTACCTCTCGGAACGTTGGAGTACATAGACGCGCTTCAAATTGCCAAACGAACTGAAGAGTTCGAAAACCTGGTGATGTACAATATCAACACTCAAATCCCGAATGTACAAAACATGTTTAGTATCTAGATCGGCTCCCGATATAAGCTGACTTGGTGGACCATATGATCTCTTGGTTGATGGATGACCCAACGGTTGACTACCTTCAATTAGATTTTAATTACGATTCCGTATATACATCTAAGTGTATGACATACCGGGCTTGTTGCTCGGCGGCTGAGCAACAGTCAAGTCAATTGACTGGCATCTTTGCTTTTGGGTTGTTATCACTCCGTAAAACTTGTGGATCGCTCGGTGTCGCTACAGTATACAGCGATGGGTCGACGATATGGTTGCCTTGTCGTTGTAACTTCAGACGATGGAACTGCGGTCAACTGAGTTGCTTGAGATTGAAGCACTGGTGACTGGGGCTCTGAAACAACTATTTCATTACTTTTTTATTAGACTGAAATTAAAGTTACTCACTAGCAGTATTACTCGTAGATTAGAACTTGAACTATCGTTGGTATCTCGCGTTTGTGTTCGACAGACATTGTTTTGAAGGCGTTGATCCATGTACTGTGATACCGTCAAATACTGCGATGGTCTTCGACTAGGCAGTTTTGTTTGCTCCGTTGTTTGTGTTTGTTGTGCTGGTGCTTTAATATCTGCAAGTGGTGGAGTCTCTGCAATTTACCAGTGAATGACTATTTTAGAAAACTTAGACCATGCTTTGTTACCCGGCATATGAGTGACAGCAATTTCTGGGGTCTTATTGCTTGGAATACTTGGAGCTTTGCTCGTTGGTTTCGGCGTCAACTGTATTGATTTCGGTTGTGAATGATTTGTTGATTGAAGCCCTGCGGATTGTACTTCCGGTAATTGCACCGAATCTATTTTAGAAAACTTAGACAATGCATTGTTACCCGGCTTATGAGTGACAGCAATTTCTTGGGTCTTATTGCTTGGAATACTTGGAGCTTTGCTCGTTGGTTTCGCATGTGAATTATTTGTTGATTGAAGCCCTGCGGATTGAACTTCTGAAAGTTGCACCGAATCAATTTTGATTTTAGTTTTCAGTTTCTGCTCAGCTAGAACCTCCTTGACTTCACTGATTTGTTTTTGATTAACATCACCTTGAAGGATTGGATTCGCAGATGGTGTCGTCGGCAGCTGCGATAATCTGCGATATGAGCGCTTTGCTGGTACCGAGCACTTTGGCTGATCTACTGATGCTTAAGTAGTGTAAGTCTTTTATGCAATGATTAAGGAAAGTTTTTACCAGTAGCATTCTCCTCGGGTTTAGCAGCAGAAACCACATTTGTCTTTACTTTGTTATCGCTCTGAAGTTTTTGACTCTCGTGTGCTAAGGCCTTCGTCATAGATCTGCGACATGAAGTTCTCGGTGTTGTAGTCTTCGGTCGATCAATTTTCGGGGGTTCTTTCGCTTGGCAGTCTGAAACTGACGAGCTGGTTATCGATCGAATAAAAGGAGATTGATGTACTTACTATCTTTCTTGGTTTTTGTTTTGCTGTCATTTTGATTCTCTCCTGTCTTTGCTATTTTGCGATATGAACGTCTTGGTTGTACTGGCTTTGTTGATTGAGCTGCAGCTGATTGTTGAGCTAGTCAAGCTGAAGTTGTTATCACTTGTTGCTTGCAGATCTAGATGCCAGTACTTACCTTCTTGCTTCTTCAGTTGCTGCCCAACAGATACGTCTGTGGAATGACGCTTTTTCTTTCGAGTTTCAGTTTTTACGCACGCCTCAGTCAAATGCTGTGATGTTTTGCGATTTGAGCGTCTGGGCAACTGAGACGGCTTATCTTCTGCAATTATTTTACTTTTGTTACATCTTTGACCTTTGATGGATGCCCCGTTTTTACCGGCTTTGTCATCTGCCTGTTTAGTAGCTGCTTTTATTGGCTTACATTTCTGCTTTTGGACCGGCTCATCACAGGAGGATTTCGAGCGACTCCTCTTAAGTGGTTTATTAGAGGAAGATTGTTTTTGCTCATTTTGGTAACCTATTTGCGAGAAATCGACATTTTTTCTCAAGAGACAAATTTCAAGGACTACTATGTTAAGTGGTTTTCGGAGAGGTAGCTTTGTCATGTGATGTTTTAGTAAAGGAAAATAGCTTCTTCCAGCTGGCTTTGTAAGTATTTTTACCCGTTTCTTTTGATTACGCTCCTGTGCGCAGCACCACAGACAAAGGCATTGCACATTGTTGCACAGACTATTAAACCTGCTGACGAAGAAGATGAAAATGCGTTTTTAATGCAGCGCAAATGTGGCAACTGTTTCTGCATGCCATCACATGTGGCCACCTAACACACATATACATAGATTTTTCCACTTAACTAACTGGCAGCGCGCACAAAAATTTTATGCAAATTACGTGCCAAGAACTTGAGCAGTTTTTGTTTTCAAAACGCAGCCTTATTACTTAAGTAAGTGCGTAACTTCTATTTAGAAATTGAATAAGCAAATGTCGGCAGGAGCATCCGTCGATGGCCACAAATTTGTACATTTGGGCGATAAACCACTCTCAATGGAACCGAATTGAATTAGCTGCAGGTCCACTTATGTGGCTGGCGGGAATAACGTGACTTGGGTGCACGATTTAGTCAAATAATGCGAAAAGTCAACTCTGACCAGCTGTTGATTAAGTGACCAAACAGTTTTGTGAGATAATCGAATTGAAGTATTCGACTAGCTAAGTGGAGTCATTTAATAAATAATCATTTAATAAATAACATAAGTGGCCTTGGCACGTATAAATAAGAATGAGCCATTTAAGGCAAAGCTGTTTCTTGAAATTTATATAAAATAGCAGTTCTCTTTTGGCTAAATAAATAATGTATAATAGAATAAGGTATATGAAATTGTACAGCCAATTCAACTTAATCACTGAATCATTCTTACTCATTGCAAGACAGCTGCAAAAGCAGCCGAGTTTAAGCTCATGGCTTTGGTTGTAATTAGAAACCAAGCTGTAGTCCTTACTCTTTCCATCGTCTGTCTGCAAAGCTGTTTTCATTGACATCGTTATTTTTAAAGAACTCAGTGATATGTATTCGCTTGATCCGTAGCCAACGAAAAGATTCACGTACCACAAACATGGCCAGCTAACGTAGCCAACTAGTCACACAAGCATATATGCTAGATACATATATCAAATTTGTTCAGTCTACCCATTTGCATGCTGTGCACTTCGAGAGGGATATCATGTCGTCGTTAAAGAAATCGAATACTTTTTGTGTGCCGCAAATTGACAATGGCAGCGAACTCTGTCTGCTTGGGTTTAATCAGGCACTTCGGCTGTACAGGACACGTACACGGATGCAGCGCAGTGAAACAAAACGAAAATCTTGCAATTTGTCGTCTAAACAATAAACCAAATCCTCGCAGGCAGGAAAAAGCAAATCAGCAAAAAGCGAGCAACGGCAACGTGCACAAATCAAACCCAGTCCGGGCCATTGCTCTGGTGTAGCCAAATAGACAAACGCGACCCTCATGCCAAATGGCTAAACACGATTTAGAGGGCAACAAATATCTTGGACTCGAAGGCTTTGAGCCAGAAGTCAGCTAACGGAAGTAACTTTTTCGATATAGTTTAATCTTTGGCTGGATTGTAGATAGCTTAACCCTTTAATATCACCTCAATGTACTAGCTACAACTATGAGTTACTATCTTATAAGAAGCTCGACTTGCTATGGAAATTGACTCATTTTGTTGTCCGAAGCACTTGTACGGCAACATTCCTTTCATTTCCGCTTGATATATTACTTCACCTACAAAATGTGGATGCTTAGAGAACAAAAAAGCAAACAGGCATTCCCTAGTAGCAGAAGCAGACTAGCACTCTAAAATAAGTTGTTTATTTTTATTATTATTTCCATTTTGTTTTATAGTTAGTATACTCTACATATCCCAGCTGATATATAAAGTGCAATATTTCAGTGGCGGACGAAGCGTGAATATAAACTTTTTGGCGACTTCTCGGGGGCATCGTAAGGCAAACACGATGCTGTTCGTTTGATAAGCCACGACGTGTACTATTTTTATTGCTGTGCCGCTGTGTGGGCATAAAAACATGCAATTTCCATGCATTCATACATATGGCTTCATTCATTCATATATATGCATGTCTCTTAAATATTCAGTTGCTGAAGAGAAACGTTTGTTTCAAGTCTAAAACCATTTTATTGTAGACTTAAGTACTTTCTTGTTGTTGGGCTGCCTCTCAGGCTGATTCCATATACAAGTTATCAAGATGAGGCGAAAGTGTGCCAACATGCAATCAGAGGTTGTCAGGCGGCAATCAAGTGTCGCTTCTGGTTAAAGCTCTTTGCGAGCAGCGATAACTTAATTAAAATTGAACGGTTTTATACCAATCAAAGGATATGCATATATATAGACTGGATCTTATTAGCTGGCAGGCAACTTCAATTCGAATTTACACTCTACTCGATTGCTGGCAGGCCAACAACCCGCACACACACACACGCCGACGCCAGGGTAAATGTGGACTACGTGTCGGTTTCAATGAAATGAAAATATAAAATATGCATTTACTGCAGTCCGCCTCCAGTTACAGATAGTTGCTACCGGCTGCTGCTGTTGCCCGGATAAGTATGCTACGGGCAACGTGCTTTGCGCCGGGGAATTGTGTCGAATGTCATGTGCTGCGCCCCGCATTCAAATGCCAGCTGCACAGTCTGCCCAAAACTGTGATCCTTGCAGCCAGACAGCCAACGGAAACGGAAGCAGCATTGTTCGCCTGCCGAGCAGCACACTCCATAATAAATGTAACGAGCGTATTACAAACACTTACGTATGGCAACTTTAAAGTGCAGCCATCACTCGCATAAGCCTGAGCATAACCACTTGAATGTGCATATATGTACATATGCATATATACCCTGTAGGATTATATATATTGAAATTTATCAAACGCCAACTGTTCAAATATGCATAAGAATGTTGTATCTAGTATTGATTTGTCCTTCTGTCATTTGCCATTTGCGTATCCAAATATCATATTAAATATGAACATAAGCTTGTTATTGTGTTTTATGTCTTTCTCAGCTTCACTCAGATGAGTGTTAGAAACAAATGATAGAAGATAGTTTATAATTAATGAAAATCTGAATAATAAATTAAATAAATAATATAAATAAATATTAATAAAATAAATATCCTTTAATTGTAATTGCAATCTAAACTAAATTTATACAACAGGGGAACTGCTCGTCGAGCAGACTTTTA